CGGCACAGCGCCAGCGCCCGGCTGCCGGTGCTGGGAGCCTTGTGGAGCTCCTCACGGGTAACCCACGAGAAGCGGGCGTGCTGAAAATGCCTGCACCTTTCGGACAAGTAGAACTGCACTTGCTCGAGTCACCCGCGTTTTCGTTTGGTACGGGGATATTTCTGTTCCTGGCGATCTTCAGAGGTAACGCAAGAGTTGTCTCCCAAGAAAATAATTGTTAAAATGGATAATATAAATAGATTATATATTATATATATATGAAAGAGTAATTGGGGGGAATTAAATTTTTTATACTGTGACAAATAAATTACCGTGTTAACAAGGTATATACTACAGACTAAATCCGGCCCTTCGTTGTGTATCTTCTCCAAATGTGGAATAGGTCATCCAAAATTAGCCAAACTGCAATATTGTGTAACACCAGAGCTAGTGATCAGAGCACAGTCGAAATCTTACATGGGCAGTCTTAGTCGTTTCTCATCTTTTTAAGAAATGTATTTGAAAATAGTGTGTGCTAAAAATGGCATGAAAGCATGCTCTAAATTATGAATTTAGTGTACAGAATTAAGTTCGATGTGATCCTAAGGGTGATTTTAACAGATCTTCATTCCTCCGGTCTTTATAGAAGAGTAAAATATTTCTATTTTACTTACTAATTTCCAGTGATCGGTAACAAACAAGAATAGCTCTAGTCATTTTTTGACAACATTGTAAAGCAGCTTCTGTTCACACGTACAGCTTCTTAATCTGCAAAGTCCCTATTTATTGAACCTATTTATTAGAAAGCTAAATGTAAAAGTATGTAAAGTGTGATTCTCTGTGTTCATATTCAGGATTGGGCATTAATGGAAAATTTAACAGCATGTTTCAACTACTGTAATACTGTGTCTTCTAACAGAACATCTTTATAATAAACTCAATTCCACCCTGACTATTCACTGTTGATATGTAACCTAGTGATAAATTAAACTACTGATTTGTAGCCTGGAGGTAAATTAAACTGCTGCTTAGGAAGCAGAGCTTCTTAAAGCGACGTGAAGATCTTGTTTAGCCCTATAAGATGAAAAACGTAGAGGTAGCAAAGAAATCCCAACCAAGGGTCAATTGCTAATTAATCCCTACTGACAAAAGACTGTGGAGCAGCACAGCCTATTTATATCACCGGAGAATGAGCCTGATTCACAATAAATGACTTCTATTATGTGATTATTTGAGACTTCATTCAGCTGAGGCACGTCTTGTTTGGCATGGCAGATGAATTAAATGGAGAGCGAGCGTAAAAATAGGATATTCTCTGAATCTGCTTCTCTGGGTTTAAAACCGCATTCCATTTCCCAGCGTTTCGTGCTCTATTTCTCTCTTTTCTTTCAGTTAGGAAATAAAATGTTCCACTAATTCCTGTCTGAAAAAAGATCCCGAACAGACCCGGCAGAATGTAAAACGGCGCTCCCAGGTTGGTCCTTCTGCAGTTCCTCACAGTCTTTTGGCAATATGTCTCTTTAATATGGCAGAGTTGGCTGACGGTTACAGCGTGTGTGACATCCAAGCGCAACAAAATTCTGCGGGCCCAGCTCTCGCAGGCTGGGCGTGCTGCCGGAGAGCCCCCCGCTCCGGCTCGACACCCTGCCGGGGAGACCCACCTCTGGAGCTCAGGGCGGCCGTGCCTCCGTCACGTTGTCTCCCCTGCAGCCTGCCGGGTCTTGGACACCTGCGATGTTGCTGCGCTTCCCTGGTGGACCGCTGGAAGCTCTCTCTGTCTCCTCTTGCCTGGCTGAGGAGAGCTGCGCGAGCGGCCAGATGGTTCACCCGGTTCGTTGCCGAGGTCTGCTCTGGTGCTCTGTGTAACGAGGATCACGTTCACCGCTCGGCAGCCACGGCAGGCGACT